CATGCCGCTGATGACAACCTTCTGAGTTCTGCCATTCAGCCAGTTCTCAGTCCACCTCCCTGACCACTCATCCAGCCCACACGTCCTGAGCTTCCCTAGGAGGATGTTATGGGAGACAGCGTCGAAAGCCTTGCTGAAGTCTAGGTAGACAACATCCACTGCTCTCCCCTCATCTACCCAGCTAGTCGTGCCATCGTAGAAAGCTATCAGATTGGTCAAGCATGATTTCCCCTTGGTGAATCCATGCTGACTACTCCTGATAACCTTCTTTTCCTCCACTTGCTTGGTGATGTCCTCTAGAATGAGTTGCTCCATCACCTTTCCTGGGATGGAGGTAAGGCAGACTGGCCTGTAGTTCCCTGGATCCTCCTTATTGCCCTTTTTGAAGATTGGAGTGACAATGGCTTTCCTCCAGTCCTCGGGCACCTCTCCTGCCCTCCAGGACCTCTCAAAGATGATGGAGAGTGGCTCAGCAATGACATCTGCCAGCTCTCTCAGCACTTGTGGGTGCATTCCATCGGGGCCCATGGATCTGTGGGCATCCAGATTGCTTAAATGATCTCTCACACAGTCCTCCTCGACTAAATGAAAGTCATCCTTTTTGCGGACTTCCTCTTACCTCCAGGGCCTGGGATTCCTGAGGGCCGGCCTTAGCACTTAAGACTGAAGAAAAGAAGGCATTCAGTAACTCTGCCTTCTCTGCATCCTCCATCACCAGGGCACCCACCTCATTCAGCAGTGGCCCCACATTATCCCTAATCTTCCATTTGCTGCTGATATACTTGAAGAAGCTTTTCTTGTTGTCCTTGACATCCCTTGAGAGAGTCGATTCCAGGTGGGCCTTAGCCTTCCTCGTTGCATCCCTACATGCTTTGACAACATTGCTGTACTCTTTCCAAGTGGCCTGTCCCTCTTTCCACATTCCAAGGACTTTTCCCTTCCACCTGAGCTCTGCTAGAAGCTCCTTGCTCAACCATGCAGGTCTCCTGCCTCTCTTGTTAGATTTCTTTCTCAGGGGGATGCACCGCTCCTGAGCATGGAGGAAGTGACGTTTAAACAGCGACCAGCACTCTTGGACCCCCCTGCCTTCGAGAGCCCTGACCTACGTGATTCCTCCAAGTACCTCTTTGAAGAGGCCAAAGTTCGCTCTCCTGAAGTCCAAGGTTTTGATCCTACTTATCGCCCTGCTTCCTCCACCCAGGATCCTGAAGTTCACCATTTCATGGTCACTGCAGCCGAATCTGCCTCCAGCCTTCACATCCTCACCCATTCCTCCTTGTTTGTTAGTACAAGATCCAGCAGAGCGCCTCTCCTCTTTGGCTCCTCCACCACTTGCATCAGAAAGTTATCATCGATGCTCTGCAGGAACCTCCTGGACTGCATGTGCCTGGGTGCATGATCTTCCCATCTGATGTCAGCGTTCTTGAAGTCCCCCACGAGAACCAAGGCCTGCGACTGTAAGGCTGTTTGCAGCTGCCTGTAGAAGGCCTCATCAACTTCCTCCTCTTGGTCAGGTGACCTGTAGTACACACACAAGATGGTGTCCCTCAGCTCCTGGTGGTCAAACGGCTGTTCTGCTCCCCCCCTCCCCCTTGCCTAGAGTTCACCTTCCTGGGGGACTGGGCCCCTCTACGGCTGGAGGTGGCTGTTGGGCACTCCAGCAGAGAAGCAGACCCAGAACAGCAGGGCAAGCAGCAAAGTGCAACCACTCCATAGTGTAACTGCCCAGTGAGGGTTACATGCGAAAAAATCAGGGAAACAAGAGCGTACATAGAACAGCTAACCAGGAAGATACTGAGAGGAGCCAATCATCAGTGCCAATTAGGTATTATAAAGGTGAGCAAAAAGCACTGGAATGACATCTTTTGAATCTTTCTTTGAAACCTTACTATCTTAGCCACAGTTTAATATAAAGAATCTTTTTCTTTTCTACCCCAAATTATTTTTTCTTCCCTTCCAGGAGTTTCAATATTTTTGTTTGCTTTTCTTTTTTCCATTTACTTCTATCTCTCCTCCATCTTCCATCTGAACAGTGAGGGAAACACTGCCCTCTTAGTTTCTCAGAAGAGATGCAGACTATACTTTTGTGATGTACTGCTGGCAATCATGGTATAAAGAAGAAGAGAGGAGAGGATCAAGCAAGTTACTAAAACAGGAGAGGATGACGACACATGAAGTGCAAAGAAATTATATAAAGATTGCCCAGTACTGGGATATGTGATTAAAAAAAGCTTTCTGTTACAGGGATCTGGAAGTATGTATCATTGTATTTTGCAGGTCAATGAAACATTCGTGTCTGGTCTGCCACGCCAAGCAGTTATAGATTTGCTGCACAAGGCTCGAGGCACTGTTCAACTCACTGTCTGCCGCAGCATGGCTTTGCATTGGGCTTATTCAGGCCATCAGAGCAAGAGGATACCTTCCCCACCAACCACAAAAGCAGAGCTGGGTAAGTAGCTACATCCACTCAGTACGTGATAAAAGTGGGATTATTTGTTGCCTGAATTCAACTTTCCTATTAACAAAACATTTCAATATTACAAACTGTACAGTTAGTCCTGATTCTTCACCCTGATCTGCAGCTCTGGCTAAGCTACTCAAGACATAGGACCACATGGAAGGAACACCCAAGTGTGATTTTTAAGTCTAGGAATAATGGAATAATGGAAGCAAAGCTGCAAGGCACTCAAAGATGCTCAGCTTATGTTTTTAAGTCATCACGGTTCCTGGTCTGGTTTTACCCAATTTTATACAACTTGTGGATGGAATCACAGCCAATTATTGACCTAGCTGCTAAAATACGTTACACAAATTCCACGTCCCAGCACTCCTACCTTATCTCTTGGAAGAGCTACACCTCCCGTTCTGCCTGGCAGACACGTCTCCTCCCATCTCTTCTGTGCTTGTTCATGTTCAAACTCAGAAGTCTCTGCTCCCAGGCTGACTGCTATTTATTTGTGAGCACACCCACCTGCATAGGGCTGTACTTAGAGAGCTGACTAATGGAATAAATTTGTGCTGCAGGCTCTTCTTTACTGAATACTCAAAATTTAAATACTAATTAAAGCTGAGAGTGGAAGCAAGGCTATGCTATTACCAATAGGTTATGGGTTTATATTCCTCAACTTTCTATTTACCTGAACACCAAAATGTTTCCTACAATGTGGAGGAGAAACATCAGCAGGAAGAATTCCTCCTCAATATAGCTTCTGGCCTGCTGGTTACAAGTTGAAGGCTTTGTTTCAAATCTTCTCAGGCAAGAAACCACTACCATTGCTATTTGCTTTCTCCCCAGCTGTCTAGGAAGAGATGCAGAGCTGACTGTGGGTTTTGGACAATCTTATGATTTGGCTGCGGCTGGCAACAAAAGTACCATGCGGCCACCCCTCCCCCCGCCGGAGTGCGGAGGAGAATGGAAAGAAACAGGCAGAAACTGGTGTGTCGGGATAAGGGCAGTTTAGCAGAACAGCAAACAAAGGGAACAGGAACAACAACGGTACAGAAAAGGGGAATACACAACACAAACCGCACAACCCAGAGAGCCGCTCTCCCAGACCAGACCGACGCCGCGCGCTCCCGAGCCGTGACAGAGTTCTCGCCACCCAGCTCACCCCCACCAGAACCCAGCATGACGGCACATGTTATGGAATACCCTGCTCTGTTTGGCCAGGTGGGGTCAGCCCGCCCGGCTGTGCCCCTTCCTGGATTCCGGTGAAAATTAACCCTGTCCTGGCCGAACCCAGGACATTATCC